CACCTCCCAAGGCACGACAATCTCCCAGAGTCTCAACGACATCCGCGGCGCGACCTAAGCAGCCCCCTACAGCTTTGACACCAAGACCCCTCACCCCCACGAGTAAGATTAACCGCAAGACGCCCCGTAATCCCAAGCCACATCGGAACGGTTTACTCGGCAAACTTCCCGTACCACTCGTCCCAACCGAGTCACTAGCACCACAATCCCCCCTTTTCGGTGACGCGCATCCCAGTGGGCAACAGGGCTACCCCGCTCACTTCCGTCGGGGATTGCAAACCATCCCTTTTCTCCCCGTGTCCTATCCTACTCGACCTCCCGACCTCTTCCAAAGGTCGAGGCAATCACGCCGCAGAATGGTCCACAATCCGGACCGTGTCCACAGCCCACTTATTACAAACCAGATACCCAAATTACAGCCCCTCCCAAAGATCCCTCCTCTAACCCTGTTACTACTGAAATCGCTGGTGAGTGGGCTCTGAAGTGCATCTCCACTAACTGTCTCGGCATCTCGAACAAGATGCTGGAGGTCAAACAGTTAGTGGCCGATTAGAAACCCCATGTTCTAGCCCTCACAGAAATCTGGTTGACCCCGGAAAACAGCGATGACGAAATATCCCTTGCAGGTTACTCAATGATCCGAAGAGACTCAATGAGAGGTCGAGCAGGTGGTGTGATCCTCTACACGAGTGACCACCTTCCCCAAGCGATCACTCTATCACTCCCTCCCATCCCCTTCATAGACTGCCTTTGGGTCCAAATTCCCCTGTCCCGCTCTGATACACTGGTGCTAGGAGTAGTCTACCGCTCACCCTCCTGTGGCGAGCTAGAATCATAACTCCTAATAGACCAGCTAAAAAGCTTAAGATCTATGCACTCCAATGCGCATTTTCTGATAACTGCAGACTTCAACGCTCCGGCAATAGATTGGCGCAGACTCCACGCCCCGGACAACAGATTTGGTAGGCTGTTAGTCAACCTGGTCACAGAGGTGTCCTGGTCTCAGCACGTCAAAAGCACAACGAGATACAGAAACAGGCAAGCCCCCTCATTGCTAGGCCTCTTCATAACAGGTGATAGTCACCTCACGGACACAATCCAACAGCACTGTCCTTTGAGCAAGAGTGATCATCTCGTGTTATCCTTCGATATCATAGTCCCCCGGCCCAGATGCGTTACATCGTGTCTTAGGGAGGTTCGTTCTTTTAAAAGGACAAACTTCAACAACCTGAGGCATTTCCTCTAAGCCCATACCCAGCAAAACAATCAGATAAGTGACGTTAACATCTTAAGCAGCACAATAAAGCGGTGTATCCGTGCAGCGGACCATCTGCTGGTGCCCCGTGTCCGTAAATCTTCATCAAACGGACACCCCTTGCCACGTGCTATCCGTCACCTCTTAGAAGAACGTTCGCGGTCCTTTGCTCGGTACAAATTGACGGGTCTGATGGAAGATGCCAATGACTTCATTCGCATTCGCAATTTGTTCAAAGCAAGGATCCGAAAGTTCCAGAGAAACCAACAGAACGGCATTT